GCTGAGGGTTGCCCCTACCCCAGGCCGTGTCACACCACAGAGGGTTGCCCCTACGCCAAGCTTTGTTCCCCAGAGGGTTGCCCCTACGCCTAGCCGTGTCATGCCACAGAGGGTTGCCCCTACGCCAAGCTTTGTTCCCCAGAGGGTTGCCCCTACGCCTAGCCGTGTCATGCCACAGAGGGTTGCCCCTACGCCAAGCTTTGTTCCCCAGAGGGTTGCCCCTACGCCTAGTCGTGTCGCTCCACAGAGGGTTGCCCCTACGCCAAGCTTTGTTCCCCAGAGGGTTGCCCCTACGCCTAGCCGTGTCGCTCCACAGAGGGTTGCCCCTACGCCAAGCTTTGTTCCCCAGAGGGTTGCCCCTACGCCTAGCCGTGTTGCTCCACAGAGGGTTGCCCCTACGCCAAGCTTTGTTCCCCAGAGGGTTGCCCCTACGCCTAGCCGTGTCACGCCACAGAGGGTTGCCCCTACTACCAGTAGTGTTGTCAAAAAGCCAATGGTTACACCCACCCTTGAGCCCATCCGATATGTACGGGTCACTGCGTTCACAAAAGCATCCTGAACTGAGTGCTGCAGCCTCGCTCTCCACATTGTTATGCTTCAGCCTTTTTCTCAGGTTTGTGAAGTGACTTTAAAATAAATGCTTCTTAAAATGTCACCTGATTCTTAATTGTGTTTAATGGTTCATAATGCTACCTTGGAGCAGCACCATTAACAAAAATGTGATTTGCATGCAACTCCATTGCCTACCCCACTCCCTGGGGAAAAAAACCTTTCAGGGTCACTTTACTTTAGATGAGGAATTCAATTCAAACTTATTTCACTGTCTGTTATGTTCTGATCATGACTCTTTTGGAGAGGTCAAGTTAAGAGGCAGAAGATTATCACCAACTGGTCCTTACTGTTATGGAAGAATACGGTCTAGAAATTGTCATTTTTGTAGAGGTGAATAAGGCCTGGCTGTGGGATGGTAAGCTCTATATTTTTTAACCTGCGTATTTGAGGGGAAGTGTCGGGGCCCAGCCAATGAAAAATGTCATTTGGGATGTAGCCTTAGTCTGTTCATTAACAATGCACACATCTGTCATGTTGACTTCAGAGTCCAAATAAAGGCCAGTGGACATCATCTACTGGTTGTGAGGTCATGTCTCAATAGCTCAGGGAGCAGATTATTTGATACTACTAATTTAGGTTTACTACCTACAATCACAAAAGGAGGTTCCAAGCCCTTGTAAAGACATGCACTTCTCAGGTACTTTTTAAATCAATCATTCCTGTCTGTCATCTTTCCTCACTTCCACTTCTCCTTTCCTTTCCTCTACTTTTCTTTACCCCTGCCTTATTTCTCTTAAATTCTGAGAGCAAGTGAGCACAAAGCGCGATCATCTTTGCACTAAATGTGTCACACAGGCCCTCAATGAATCTGTTACGGAAGGAGGTTGAATTCTTAATCAGTTTTCTAGAAGAAAGTTTTGGTTGCAGTGCTCCATTTTAAGATTTTTTTTTTTTTCCCCAGCCATATTCTGTTTGCTCTGCTCATTTTCACTTAACCCATTCCTCTCCAGCCCTCTGTGTCCTTTCTTTTCCATTTTCCACTTTGTCTCTTCCTCTACCACCTCATCACCTCAATTCATCTCATCTCCCATTTTGAGGGAGGTGTTGAGGGTAGTACCATTTGGGATGGAGCTCTGTTTTCATCACTGCCAATGTGCTGCCACCTCAATGAGCTAAATGTGTCATGGGGCCTCTGAATCAAAGGCCATTGGGCATATCTGAAGGGTTGTAAGGTCAGGTATGATGTCACAATATCTTACAGGTCATGTCTTATTTGCTATCACTTCAAGTAGTCATTACTGTTACAAACAATATAAAGAGCTCTTTTAAATAAAATGGTTTCTAGATGGCATCTTCACTTTTGGCTGTGGTGCTGCAGTATGTTAAGATTCATGTTTACACACACATTCTGTTCTTTCCCCTCACTCATTTCACCCCCCCTTCCCTTCCCAGTCCTCCCTTCATCTTCCTTTTTGAGCTCTCTCTTCTTTTCTTCCCTCTGCCTTTATGCCCCCTTTCCCTTGCCCCTTGTCTTTCTTCTCCCATTTCAAAGGGAAGCTGGAAAAAATTCCATTTTAGACACGGCTCTGCTCTCTTGACAATGTGCAGTCATCTCGCATTTAACTAGACTGAGGGCCTCTGTGCCAGTTCGATCCCAGTGGCCATTGTCAACGGACTCTGGTCAAATTTGATGTCATAACTTACAGGTGATGTGTAGTTTTGAATATAAGGCTCCAATCTACATCCATACTCCTCCCCCCATGCCCTTTCCCCTCTCCTGCTTCATCTCTCCTCACTTGCCCTCTTCTCTATTTCATAGAGCACATGCCTGTTATATTTTATATTATGTTTATTTTATGTTATATCATATTACAATATGTAATTTTGGGGTGGCAGTGTAGCATAGTGGTTAAGGAGCAGGACTTGTAACTGAAAGGGCAAGGTACTTAACCCACAATTGCCTCAGTAAATATCCAGCTGTATAAATAGGTTACAGCTTTTTATAATGTTATCCATGTAAGTTGCTCTGGATAAGAGAGTCTGCTAAATGCCAACAATGTAATATTTTGGAGACATTAAAGATGTGGCTCCTTTTCCCAACACTTCAGGGGAAGTGTTGGCACATTTGGACCACACAACTCCTTTATTGTGCTTTTTTCAGTTTATTTAGCAGGACGCTGTTCATATGGGTGTTTTTTTCAGTTCATTGTGGCAGCAAGGTAAAAGAAAAGAAAATCAGGTGTAAGGTACAGAAAAAATGACCAAGAGTGAAAACGCAAGGGGGCGCTATACGTCTAAGTGTTGACAGTGTCATTTGAAAGTACAATTAAGCAATTTAAGTCTGTGGTTAATCACCATGAAGCGCTGTGAAGTGTTTAAAAGAGGCTATACCGGTACATTTTTGTTGCTCTGTTAACGTGGATTTAGGACCTAGCAGACCTTTCCGGAGATCACAATGTATCTCCCTCAATATGCAGTGGAGGTAGTCTTGGTGGATCGATTTCAGTAAACAAGTCTTACTTTGTTCATTACGTATTCACGATTTTTTAATACATAAGGAATACAGTAATATAGCTAGATAGCTATAGAACTACATTTGTTACATTTGAAAATGACCACTATTGGTTGTAGCATGCTTTATGAAGGTAATAAAACACGGAGGAGCCCCTTACCGGACACGGTCGGAAAAATAAAGTCCTTTACTGGCAATGTATGCCTCGATCCTGCTGAGAACACTAACCCAGAATTCCAGATCATTTGAGAGGACAAAGTAGGCCTACAAAATCGTGGGTCCGGATAATTAGAGGATATTAATTAATAGATCGTTGGAACAAAGTGATAAACTGAGTTTTAGAATTAAACCATGGGTACGGATTGGTAAATTGAGGGTAAAGATTACTAAAGGGATATTATGTTTTTCGACTATGTCCGCTGAGGGGCTCTGTAGTAAAATGTTGTGCGCAGGCATAGTTGCGGTGCATGTTGAGTCTACGCTGATGGCCAAAACTTTTCTGCCTCCAGTTTATTCTAATAGCTGGACGCTAACTAGGTTTGTAGGTGCATACTCCCTTTGCTATTTTATCTCATTTTGGTGGTGTTCCAACTACTTTTATTTTATGCATAGTTTATTTCTTCCGTTTTATGTAATCTACAGTTTAGCAGGATTGTTTATTTACTTATTTCGTACTGTTTGGTTATCCTGCGAATCTGTCGCTTTGTGTCAGTTGCAGGTCCAAACGTATGTTAAACACACAGAAACGTCTTTAAAGTCCTCCTTCGCTGTACATCTGATCATTTGTGCTGCTGTCATTATGATCGACAACGGAAGTACTAGGACCCAGATGGCCACAACCACTGGAGCTCAGGGGAACCCAACTAGATCCTCACACCAGGGCCAAGTGGTAAAATAATTTGCTTGGACATGACAGACTGCCAAAGAAATGTGTGTGAAAGTTATGAGTTGTGGTGAAAAGCAACATATTGCACATTCTGATTTACTAGAAATTTCAGGGTGCCTGCTAATTTTGTCTGAGTAAATGTTTTGTCAGTGTTGCATATTTCCAGCCTTGGCTCGAAAGAATTGAAATACATGTTGGACAACAGCTTTCCTTGTTTTGATTATCCTGTAAGCCTCGCTCTCTCTGTAGATCCCACAGGCAGTTGTTCCTCCCCTTTACTCCTCCCGAACTCTCCAGCATCCCTCGTTTATGCCTCTGTACATGGCTGTGGGGTCCATGCGGTGCAGGTCGCGAGCACCTAGCCAAAGAAGAGGACCTTATCCAGGTGATGCCTGGGGTAGTAGGTATAAAAACAGCTGTGCCAGCAGGTGTAGGGGGATTAGCTCCTGGCCAAGGTCTGCATCAAAGGCATTATGCACAATTGTCAAACACACATAATCACATATAAATATGAGATAGACTGTATAATTGATCGGGCCCAAAGTAATCAAATTGGTATGTAGAAGTCTTTATCTGTAGAATATACACACAGTGCATTCCATCTTCTGAGACCAATTTTAGTACAGATTCAACACAGGACTACATTTTATTAAAAAGAGTATCTACATAATAACCTATACATTAGCAATACCTGCTAATTCCGTATTTGACCAGCCAGGAAAAACGGATGCATGAGCCGTCTTTGTAGACAGGAGATTACAACTTTTGTTTCTGTTTGTTTTCTTGTGTCAAATGCACCTCTGATTCAGTCCCAGCCATGATTCCCTCTGATTTCTTCCACACCGACCTCACCCTAGCACCAGGGAATCGAGTAACCAATACTGTGACACAGCTGGAGGTTAGTAGCTGGCCACACCTCTTCCCTATACATGCCTTTAGATGATTGGTCAGCTGTGCCCTTTACCTGCTGATTGTATTCCAATTGAGCTGGCTTTGCGGAGCATTTCAGGTGTGTCAGATACTTTTGAGGAATTCTGTTCCAGTGGAATGCCTGCGATGGCTGAGTGGTTAAGGTGTTGGACTTGAAATCTAATAGGGTTTCCCCATGCAGGTTCAAATCCTGCTTGTAGCGAAGGTGAAATTATGTGTGTGGGGACAGTAGTGGGACATCTTTATAGGGTGACAGTGTAGCATAGTGGCTAAGGAGCAGCACTCATAACCAAAAGGTTGCCAGTTCAATTCCCCATGGGGACACTGCTGCTGTACCCTTGGGCAAGGTACGTAACCCACAGCTACCTCAGTAAATATCTAGCTGTATAAAGGGATAGTGTTGTAAAAACCTGTAACTGATGTAAGTTGCTCTGGATAAGAGTGTCTGCTAAATGCCAATAATGTATTGTAAAGCTTTGCAAGTCTGACCTTTTCTACTCTGGAATAACAAAAATGGCATCTATGGAATATGCTGTACTTCTGTTTTGGTTACAGTTAGTGAAAAGTTCAGTGTGAATACAGGTAGAGTAGATTGGTATTGTTTTACTGCCCCCTTGACTTGAGTTTCAATATTATGTTACCTTGTGACAGCAGAATGATACACTAACTGATTTGAACCAATCACAGTGTTTTTACTGTGGACAGCAAAGTATTTTGATTGGTTCAAGTTAATGATTGACAGTGGATGGTAGCCCCATCCATCATGTGGTTCATTTTGCCTCACTCTCCCATCTGTAGTGTAACTGTCACAGGGAAGAAATCATCCCATTCCTGCAGATGGGGAGAGTGGTAAAAGGCAAGTCGTCCTATACTTTGTGATTCTGAGTTTTTTCTGTGGTTCAGAGCAGTTTTTTCTTAATCCTTAGTTATGCACAATAACAATATGCAGGTTATTTAAAAGCAGATGTAAAATATAGCTTTTTAATTCTCTAAGCTTGGTTCTGTAAACACATTTTACAATGATGGAATCAGAGCCCCATTATTTCCCAGGGATATTTGGTTAACTTTGGTTTAACCATTAGCTCAGCAGGTGGGTAGTTCTTACCTGTGATATAAATCTTTTTTTACTTGCAGGCTTGCAACCTAACTAGAATTGTTGCTGGCTGTATGTTTTCTGTAAACCAAATTATGCTGAAGCAAAATGCTGGAGCTGATGGCATGGGGAAATGGTTAGACTCAGACATCAGACATCAGGGTGGGGTTTACCAAAAAACAGGTCAAACAGACTACATCAATCAGGGGTACATACTGTACCTCCAGACAACCCAGATTAGCCCCCCCCCCCCAATAAAGTGTGCTTTAGGGTGGACCTCATCAGATGTGAGACACTTATACTCAGGGTTTCCCAGTAGAGGGGCAGAGGGAAAACCTGGTATGAAAAATGCTCTTTGGTGGCACATGAAACTGAAATGAGTGCAGCAGATTTGAGACTGGAAAGAATGTGAAATGCTTGGAAGCTTTTGTTCCAGCTTGGTGTTTTTGCGTTTCCCAGTGGATTAGGAGCTCTCTGTGGTGCCGCAACATGATGGACGAAGGGGTTAGACCTGGTACCTGTGGATTGAAGAGGGGCTAGTATCTAAGAGATTAAACGGGATCAGACTGGCTTGGTGGTTAAATGAGATTGCCCCCCTCCAACAGACAGCCGCCCCACAGGGGGGATGGAGTGGGATTCTAGAACATTAAAAACACTGTTTTCTGTGTACAACTCTTGAAACTGGTCAAGTGTGACATTTACTGAACAATATAACCAATAGTAGTTGATATGGTTGAGTGCCACATATCAGACTACACACCATTTAGTTTCTCTCCATTTCAAGTGGAAAATGAATGGACATTGAGAACTGAGTATCCTACTAAATGAGTTCTCTGAGAATTGCATCTTGTAAAAAGCTGTTTCTGTAGTCTTGCTTGATGCCCACAGTGAGACTTTGGCATGGAGGCATCCCTTATCAAACCAGTCTGATTGAGAATGGGAAAGAATTGTGGTAAATCTGTTCTCTCTGAAATGTTGTATTACGATTGGCCTCCCCAATACCCCACCCTTTTCTTGTCTATAGGTTTTCGAGTCATGTCAGCTCAACACCCCTTGCCCAATCATGTCTGTCAGGCAAGCCACGCCCCCCAAGCCAGACCCTTTCAGAACCAGATCCTATCCCACCCGGCATCTGGGCTCCGAGCTATGGACATGGGACCACTCGACCAGGAGGTCCGAAAATATCCAGAGACGAACTGTCGAGATCATCCAGGTTTCCCCGGAGGAGGACCAAGCCATTACCAACCTTCTGAAGCTGCGCTACCATGCCTCTGGTGACACGCTGGGGAGGGGTACAGCTGCAGATCGCAGACCCCTCAGTCAGCCAGGTCAGATCCCAGCACAACCTTCAGAACCTGGCCAAAACCTTGCAGGGGGCGTCCTGCCACCAGCCTCTGTGCTGGAGAGTGAGTCCACGCAGAGGCCTGAGGTGGAGCTACAAACCGCCAACATCCTGCTTACTCTGGAGGACATGGGGACTGCCCCCAAGGAGGTGGAGCCTCTCAGTCCCGCCCATACTGAGGTGGAGGCTCTGAGTCCTGCCCATACTGGGGTGGAGCCTCTGAGTCCCACCCACACTGGGGTGGAGCCTATGAGTCCCACCCATACTGGGGTGGAGCCTATGAGTCCTGCCCATACTGGGGTGGAGCCTATGAGTCCCGCCCATACTGGGGTGGAGCCTATGAGTCCCGCCCACACTGGGGTGGAGCCCCTGAGTCCCGCCCATACTGGGGTGGAGCCTATGAGTCCCGCCCATACTGGGGTGGAGCCAATGAGTCCCGCCCATACAGCCTGTCCAGCCCACACTGGGGTGGAGCCTCTGAGTCCCACCCAGGGAGATCCCAGAATACAGAATGCTGAGAATCAGGGCCACCACTTGCCTGCTGGGCAGGGTGTGCTGCCCTTGTATGGAGGAAAACCAAACGGCATGTGTCAAAAAGACACTGGTCACAGACCACAGGATAGCTTGGACAGCAATGGGTCCCACGGTAGCCCACCAACTCCGTGTGTGGGACAGAGCGTGTCCTTGACGCAGTGGGACACGGGGCAGGTGGGGTTCAGGGGGGCTTGGCCCTTGAGCAAGGAAAGCTGCTCAGATTTGGAGGAGACCGCTGCTTATGCTCTGCTTGAACTCAGTGAGCAGAGAGAGGAGGCTCCTCACTCCCAGGGGATGTAGGGAAGGCAAGGGCCAAAGACAGGAGATCTAGCCACACCTCTGCATTTGGTTGCCAACTCTATAGTTGGGTACAGTGTCCCTGTTTGCCTTTTTCACTTTCATTCAAGAGAGTTCAGTTTAAATAAAATTAAATTGACAAGTTGCCATCTAGCACTGTATCTGTCTGTGATTTTTATCAAGCTGTTCTAAATGTTTGGCTTGGGTTCATTTTTGATAAACCTTTTGTTAATAGAAATAATGTTTACATGGCTGTGGAATAATATGAGAGCAACATTCTGCACTCATTGAGTTTTCAATCCTTCTCAATAAAGAAATTGTGCAGTTTTTTCCATGCTTTTGTCAATGGTGGATTATTGAATCCATAGGATAATACCCTCCCCACAAGAATAAAAAACCCAAATCATCCAAGAATGTGAAAATGGTATAAAACTCTTTATTAAGAACACTACTCTTTACAAAGGGAGCAAGCCTGTTCACACACATGTATGTATGTTTATATACTGTACACACACATACACACATCCAGCCATACTGGCCCCAGGCAGACCACCACACAGATGGGGCCAGCGACTCCTCTCCCCGAGGTCCGCAGATGTTCAGAAAGTACTGATGTTTTGTGTAAACAGCAGCCAGTGCATACAGAGAATCACAGGTGCTTTCAGTTATTGCAGTGAGGCCAAGTGCTTATAAAAATAGGCCTTTGTATTTGTTCTCCACCCTATAAATTTCCTGATGGATATTTATTATACCTGGCTCATTTTATGACTATAAAGTAAGGCTCTCTGAAACTCGGAGTGAAAATGTGTTGTGCATGCTCGCTCCAGTAGATTGGAGTTGTCTATTCCAGCAGGAGAGGAGGAATCGGTTTCCTGTTTACATACAAAAAACCGTCACTGTTCACATACAAAAAAAAACAATCTGTGTCTAAGGATGACTACAGCGACGTAAAACACCAGACAACACATACAACACAACCATCTACAAGGGCTTCTGTTCTTTACATATTTGCTGGAAAGGTCATTTATACTACACTCTTAGAAATCACTGTAAAACTGGGAAGGGGGCATTTCTGTTGCTATAGCCAGCTCAAAGTCATCAATGATTAACTCGAAGCAATTGTGCTTTTTTGTCAGAACATTTTAACTCTGGTGCAACAACAGAAGTAGCCCTTAAGGCCTAAGAGACTTGTGCTTCTGAGGACAGGGGTTTGGAAGGCTGATTCTTGGCTGGAACATCAGGATTTTTTAAAGCCAGCCAAAGGCCAACGCTTAGGCCCAGCGCTGCTGGTTTAGTCTGCAGTGGCAGTGCTGTGTAACTCACAGTCTTCTCCCCGTCTGCCTGGTTGGGGCACGACCAGGTGGTTCAGGCATGCCGAAAATGAGCGGATCGAACGTGCGGCATGCCTGCAATGCCCCGGTGTCACGGCCCGCTCCGGAAACGCGTTGGCCGCGGCCGTGGCGGGCTGTGCTGCCTCGTGCGCAGTGCTCCGGTGCTGGCGGCCCAGCCCCGAGGCGTTCCTCTTCAGCAGCAGTTTCCCTGGAGGAACCGGGGCGTAGTAAGAGTGCAGAAACACGACACACCCACAGAGAAGGAGCACAGACGGAGCACATTCTGTAACGTTCAGGCCAGTCTGTCGTCATTCTTTAACTTAACTGGAGTCTTCCCATGATGCATTTGCTGGGATCTCAATGTTCCTTTGAGACTAGCTGTGTAGTTCACTGCTTGTGGTGTCATTCCAGTGCAGGAAGCGTTTTTTCTTCTTTCAGGTTTTGCCTTCTCATGAAACTTGGATAGACTCAATGTTTATTTGTCAGCGGGAGGTTTTCAGGCGTGTGTTTATAGTCAAGATTAAGGTTTAAAGTGTATTTAGACCTAACAAAGAGGGCTGTTTTCCTGTTATTCCGTGTCATGTGATCAGTATTGCTGTGCTTAG